CTATTTTTCCCATTTTCCCATGGCTTATTCTTGTTTTTTCATTCTTAGGCTTCCTAAGTTCCCAAAAGAAATCAGCTCAGAGGACACTTGATTTTAAGCTCCAAGGATCCTGAGATATCTCTATTTTAACATGACTAGGGGAAATGATCCAATAAGGATTCATCTACGTGAAAGTCCCCAGGAGATCTTTACCTCTTACTGAATGCTCCCCACTTGGACCCTAGTGTTGACCTGCATGTTTACAGATAAGGAATTAAGGCTTAGAGGGACTTGTCCAAGGTGACACGACTACTAAGTAGGGAGCTGAGTTTTAACTCACATAGTCAGCCAGAACCAGATAATAGATGCTCCGGGCTCTGTGGACCATGCAGTCTCTGTCACGACTACTCAATGCTGCCATTGTCCAGCAAAAGCAGCCATGGGCAACACACAGATGAACAGGTGTGACCAAGCTCCAATAAACCTTGTTTATGGACACAGAAATTTGAATTTCATATAATTTTCACATATCCTGACTTATTATTCCTTTGACTTCTCTGAATTGTTTTAAAATTAAACCACATTCTTAGCTCTAGGATGGGTATTGGCAAAATGAGCCCGTAGGTCAAACCCTGCCCACCACCTGTTTTTGTAAATCAAGTTATTCATCTCTTCTCTCCTTGGTGTTCTTCTTGAAGGGCATTCCCATTAATTCTTCATGGTAGATTAATTCATACAACAGATGTTGTGATTAATTAAGTCCAATGTTCTTTATTCTGTGGTGCAGTATAGGGCTTTTACTTAAGTAATTGGCTTATATTCTTCTGGAGCTCTTTTTAAAAACAAATTGGTAACATTACATTGTATCTATGAATTGGCATAAAACTAGTGATTATTTTAATGAAATTTTTTCTTTAATCAGATAGTCCATTAAGCATTCTCTTCTTAGTTGGGCACTAATCTAGGCACAACAACTATAGAAAGAAATGCACTTACCTTTTGTGACAATTCATCAGGAAAACCCTTGAATTTTTCTTTGGAATTACATCTGTGCTCATCCCTTGCAGAAGGACAAATAACTGTGATAGACATTGAAATCCTGGTGGCACCTCACTGAGTATTCTCACCTGTGCTGTGCCCAGAGGAAGGTGTGTGAGGGAGAAATGGAGACATCTGCTTGGAATTTTTGTTTTTTTCTAATACCTATTATTCATATATTGTAGCTTTTCCTTTCAAGCAGTAACATTTTTTTCTCCTAAAAATAAATTATATCTTAAGCTCCCCCCAAAATTCATAGCATCTGAGACAAAAGGTGAATTTGAAATTGTTAAAATTTAGATTTTAATTATTTTTATTGTGCCTTCTTATTGTTCAAAAAAATAGATGAATTGGGACGCCTGGATAACTCAGTCAGTTAAGTGTCTGCCTTTGGCTCAGGTCATGATCCCAGGGTCCTGAGATCAAGTCCTGCATAGGGCTCCTTGCTCAGTGGGGAGCCTGCTTCTCCCTCTGCCTGCTGCCCCCCCACTTGTGCTCTCTCTCACTCTTTCATTGACAAATAAATAAAATCTTTTTTTTTAAATGGATGAATCATACTGGATTATGGGAAATAGTTAAGGTATTAGGTATTATAGGGTGTCAGAACATGCCACCCCAAAATATGCCACTTTCGCATAATGATTATTTTGAGCTGAAGGCATTTGAGAAGAAGAAGATACAAGAAAAGCTATCTAAGAATGAAGGGGAGTAAGTCAGAGGGGGAGACGAACCATGAGAGGCAATGGACTCTGAAAAACAAACTGAGGGTTCTAGAGGGGAGGAGGGTGGGGGGATGGGTTAGCCTGGTGATGGGTATTAAAGAGGGCACGTTCTGCGTGGAGCACTGGGTGTTATGCACAAACAATGAATCATGGAACACTACATCAAAAACTGATGGTGTAATGTATGGTGATTAACATAACAATAAAAAATAAATAAATAAAAGAAAAAAAAACAAGAAAAGCTATCTGCCCCCTATTTGCCTAGAAGCAGGACATACATTTACAAAGGTATCCTCCTCCCCTCTCTACTAGTAAGGACCAAAATCAATCACTAGAGACAACTTTAGACCTTAATCAGCCTGGAGACAGCACCAGAGAAGTGTACATAACAACCTTTACTAACAAGCTTTTATTTACTATTAGTTTTCCATAATGTGCCTTCCCACAGTTGGGATCCCCAGAGACTCAAGGTTCTTTTCCTTTGTCTTGTTGCTTCTCTAACACTTTAGTGTTCCCTTGCTGAGATGCTGCATGAGCCCAAGTTCTAACCACCCCTTTGAGTTACTCATCTCTGAGTGTTCCAGGGGTAAGGGTGGTGCACATGCTAATGAACTTCTGCTTGGTTTTCTTGTGTTGACTTGTGTTTTGTCAGCCCAGTTTATAGGGCCCCAACAAGAGAACCAAAGAGAGTAGAGGAAAAAGAATTTTTGTTCCCAACTGAGGGTTCGAGAGGGGAGGGTGGAGGGGGATGGGTTATCCTGGTGATGGGTATTGAGGAGGGCACGTTCTGCATGGAGCACTGGGTGTTATGAGCAAACAATGAATCATGGAACACTGCACCAAAAACTAATGATGTAATATATGGTGATTAACATAACAATAAAAAAAATAAAAAAATAAAGAATTTTTGTTCCCCTACTGTATCTTGAAATTATGTTCTCTGCTTCACAAAAGGGTTGTGTTCCTGGTTCAGCATAAATCCCTCCCCAAACACATTCCCTGAGGCCTGAGTCCCCAGTAATGGCAGGTGAGGAAGAAAAGAACCTCTACAGATGCAGTTCTCATCCCTGGCTAGGTATCAAAATTGTCTGGAGAGGTTTTAAAACTACAGTTTCCCTAGAGTTTTGGATTCAGTAGGCCTGGGCTGAGGCTCCATAGTTAAGAACACTTCCTCTTGCAGGGCTGAGTAGAAGTCTGTATGAGTTCCCTATGGCCACTGGAATAAATCACCACAGACTGGATGGCTAAAAACAACACAGATTTATTATCTCAGTGGTGGAGGTCAGAAGTCTGAAATGAAATGGCAGGGCTGCATTCCTTCTGGAGGTTCTAGGGGAGAATGACTTTCCTTGTCATTTCCAGCTTCTGGAGGTCATTTCATTCCTTGGCTTGTGGCGCCTTCCTCCATCTTCAAAGCCAGTGCTGTAGCATCTCTCTCTCTCTGACTCTGACCCTCAGGCTTCCCTCTTATAAGGACCTTGCAATTACTTTGGACCCACCCAGATGATCCAGGATAAACTCCCCATCTCAAAGTCCTTAATCACAGCTGCAAAATCCCATGTAAGGTGACATACTCACAGATTCCAGGGGTTAGGGTGAACAGCTTCGGGAGCCTTTATTCTGACTACTCCAGAGCCTGATGCAAGGCAAACATACAACTCGATCCCCAGCACTCTGCCACCTGCAGACATCACTAATTTCTCCACTATTCAACTAGTCTGTCAATGTTTTTACTTTTGCAAGAGAGGAGGAGAGGACTAGGGTGCCAAAGAGATCTTTTTTGGCTCAATCACCTTTGCCCTCCTTGATATCTGCATGATTAAAGGAGGGACTCTACCACAAGGACAGTATCTTATAGATAGATAGATAAATAGATATTATATAAACAGATATTATATATATAGATGAACAGATATTATATATAGATAAACAGATATTATATATAGATAAACAGATTTTATAGATAAACAGATATTACATACATAGATAAACAGATATTATATATATATAAAATCTACAAGCCCATCATCTTTGCAGCCAATGCAGAGATGTACATTTCATACTCAGTGAGTCCCCCAAAGCCATGAACTTGAATCTTTTCCTAACAGCTGTGACCTACCAAGGTGTGTTGGTCATCACAACCCTAACCATGACTTAAGGCCCCACACTAGAGAAAAAGTGGGGCATAGTCTTGATCATGGCCTTGGACTTGCTCCAAGGGCCCTCCTGCTCAGCAGTGAGACCTGCCTATTCTCACTCTCTAGAAGTTTGTGGTCAAGAATTTAGCATCCTGGGTTATGCCTGCTTCCACTCTATTGCCCACATCTGACCACTCTACTACCAAATCTTGGTCCCAGAAAACTCTCGATCCTGTTTCTTCCCTCTCCACCTCTTGAATTTAGCTTCCTTGACAGAATCAGGAAGAAACAGGAGGCCTCTCTGTTTCCTCAGTAGTGCTCTGCTTTCCTTGTAACTTGCTCCACCAGAGCCCGATTTCACAGACTGCTTCCAGTAGCTCCCCGTCTGCCCTGTGCCTGTGGCACAAGTCCTTCTGGTTTCACACATATGCAGAGGTCTTTCTTCCTTCCATCAGGGTGTGTTTAGAAATCTGACATATGATTCCTGACAACATTCTTTACTGCCGAGTCGCCATCTGAATGTTTCCAGGCATTCTGTCACAGGAACCAGTGGGTTGACAGCTCTAAATCCACTCAATCCACCACTGAAGGTGTGACTCCATAAATTCCTTCTTAAATCTCTGTTGTTCCTCTGCCTTTGAGGCTCCCATTGCTGCAACCTTTTGTGGCAAGTTCTAAAGATGGACAAAAAGGCCCCTCTCTAGTTCCTGTCCTGCATTCCCCAATAACATACCTGGTTTCTGGTATCTTCTCACCTAGATAAGAGTTTCTGCATTTACTGATAGTCAGGCTCATAGCCAACCTGATACTGCAGACTCCAGGGGTTCCCATTTTATAGATAAAATAGAATAGGGTCTTAATCCACGGATCCTTCACTCTCCTATGAAAGTTGCCGTTTCTCTTTTTAAATTATGTATCTATTCTAGACCTTGAGGGTAAAAGAGACAGAGAGTTCAGAAAGATCATCTCTCCTCAAAATTAATGACCACAAAAATGGGGGGATTAAAAGCAGCACAAATTATGCAGTAGCAATAAAAAAGGTGTGCGTGTGTGCAGGGAGCAGGGGGAGTTGTCTCACTCACATCACAATCTTTAAAAATTCACATCAACTTTTCCACCGTAGGTTTGCCACCAGAACACAGGTGTTGTGAAAACCACCACTAAGCCTAAACCAAAATGCAAAAGAAAAGACTCACGTCAACATTATCGTCATTGGATGATTCAGGAAGTCTACCACTACTGGTCATCTGATCTACAAATATGGTGGGATTGACAAAAGAACTATTGAAAAATTTGAGAAGGAGGCTGCTGGGATGGGAAAGGGCTCCTTCAAGTATGCCTGGGTCTTGGATAAACTGGAAGTTGAACGTGAACGTGGTATCACCATCGATATCTCCCTGCAGAAATTTGAGACCAGCAAAGTATTATGCGACCATCATTGATGCCCCAGGACACAGAGACTTTATCAAAAACATGATTACAGGCACATCTCAGGCTGACTGTGCTGTCCTGATTGTTGTCACTGGTGTTGGTGAATTTGAAGCAGGTATCTCCAAGAATGGGCAGACCTGTGAGCTTGCCCTTCTGGCTTACACACTGGGTGTAAGACAGCTAATTTTTGGTGTTAACAAAACGGATTCCACTGAGCCACCCTACAGCCAGAAGAGATACAAAGAAATCATTAAGGAAGTCAGCACCTACATTAAGAAAATTGGCTACAAGCCCAACAGTAGCATTTGTGCCAATTTCTGTTTGGAATGGTGACAAAGCCTTGGTTCAAGGGATGGAAAGTCACCCATAAAGATGGCAATGCCAGTGGAACCACACTGCTTGAAGTTCTGGATTGCATTCTGCCACAAACTCTTCCAACTGACAAACTCTTGTGTCTGCCTCTCCAGGACGTCTACAAAATTGGTGGTATTGGTGCTGTCTCTGTGGACCGAGTGGAGACTGGTGTTCTTAAACCTGGCATGGTGGTCATCTTTGCTCTAGTCAATGTTACAACTGAAGTAAATTCTGTTGAAATGCACCATGAAGCTTTGAGTGAGGTTCTTCTGGGGGACAATGTGGGCTTCAATGTCAAGAACGTATCTGTGAAAGACGTTTGTTGTGGCAGTGTGGCTGGTGACAGCAAAAATGACCCACCAGTGGAAGCAGCTGGCTTCACGGCTCAGGTTGTTATCCTGAACCATCCAGGCCAAATCAGTGTTGGATATGCACCTGTGCTGGATTGTCACACAGCTCACATTGCTTGCAGGTTTGCTGTGCTGAAGGAGGAGATTGGTTGTTGTTCTTGAAAAAGGCTGGAAGATGGTCCCAAGTTGTTGAAATTTGTTGATGCTGCCATCGTTGATTGGTTCTTGGCAAGCCTATGTGTGTTGAGAACTTCTCTGACTATCCTTCTCTGGGTTGTTTTGCTGTTTGTGACATGAGACAAATGGCTGTTGTGAGTGTCATCAAAGCAGTGCACAAGAAGGCAGCTGAAGCTGGCAAGGTCACCAAGTGTGCCCAGAAAGCTCAGAAGGCTAAATGAATATTATACCCCAGTCTTCATCAGGGTTGGAAGAACAGTCTCAGAACTGTTTTGTCAATTGGCCATTTAAGTTTAATAGTAAAAGACTGGTTAATGAGAAATGCATTGTAAAACCTTCAGAAGGAAAGAATGTTTTATGGACCATTTGTTTTGTGTGTATTTGTGTGTGGCAATTTTAAGTAATTAGTTTTTAAAATCAGTACTTTTTTTTTAAAGATTTTGTTTATTTATTTGAAAGAGAGAATGAGAGAGAGAGAGAGAGCAGGAGAGGGGGGAAGGTCAGAGGGAGAAGCAGACTCCCTGCTGAGCAGGGAGCCCAATGTGGGACTCGATCCCGGGACTCCAGGAGCATGACCTGAGCCGAAGGCAGTCGCTTAACCAACTGAGCCACCCAGGCGCCCTAAAATCAGTACTTTTTAATGGAAACAACTTGACCAAAACTCTGTCACAGAATTTTGAGACCCATTAAAACAAAAGTTTAATGAGGAAAAAACCAAATCCCATCAAAAAAAGAGAAAGGCAGAAGATTCCCACTATCCTCTTGACTGAGCAGCGTTCTAGATGCTTCTAGTTCATCCCAGTGCCCACCCCCAGAAACAGTATAAGAGGAAGGAAGGTGAGTGGGGGAAAAATCTCGTAAAAATCCCCTTAATACTCCCAATAGAAAAGAGGCAGGTGAAAAAGATACACAGAAGGAGCCCAGGTATAAGTTTTCCATGCTGCCTTCCACTCACCTTCTTGTTTGCTGAGCAATGGAAATCCCAGGAATAAACAGGGATTGAGGAAAATAGAAGACAAAGTGAAAATAATACAAGATTTTATGAGGGAAATGGGTTAAAGGGAGAATCAGAGTGAGTGCCTGGTCAGTTTCATCTGTTGTTTGTTTTCCTTTATTGATCTGTTGTCTTTAGCATCAAATATGATGTTAACTGGTACTTTGACATACACATATTTAAATCATATGTAAAAGAGCAAATTTTCACCCTTCTACTATAGTTTTTAAAATCAGAAATGGGTACTGTAGGTAGTAAAATTTTTTGGCATCCATGTAGATAATATGATGTTTTCCTCTTTCATACATATGTGAATTATATCCATAGATTTCTTAATATTGAATCATTTTTGCATTCCTGAGATGAACTCCACTTAGCTGATCTGTATTATTATTTAAAAGTACTGTTAAATTAGGGGCGCCTGGGTAGCTGAGTCAGTTAATTGTCTGACTCTTGATTTCAGCTCAGGTCATGATCTCAGGGGTTGTGGGATGGGGTCCCACATCGGCTCTGCACTCAGTAGGGAGCCTGCTTGGGATTCTCTCTCTCCCTCTGCCTCTCCCCCCTGCTTTCTCGCTCTCTCTCAAATAAATAAATAAAACCTTTTTTAAGTACTGTTAAATTATATTTGGAAATGTTTTTTTTTCAAGATTTTGGCTTCCATATTAAAAACCTAGATTAGTCTGTAATTCTTTCCCAGTCTCTGGCACCAAGGCAGGTTGGCTTGACAGCCACCATGATGAGGAACTTCTGACTACATTCTGGAGTAGTTTATTTCCAGCTGTACCCACTGTCAGAGGATAACAGGAAGAACTCCAAAATGTGAGCAAGACATCAGCTGCATTCCCTTGTTTCTGCAACTGTTCATGTTGTCTCTATTTGGCTTGAACGTATACTACCATAGAGTTATAGAGTTACACACACAAACACACACACAGAGGAGAGTGAGCAAATGTTTGTGAGTTAGGAAGATATGGGATCCTGGGGAAGCCTTTATCACACGTGAATGCTTCCCATCCTCCAAACCCCCATGCCCTGCAAAACTGAACCCTGGACCTACAAAATTCTCCCCTCTTTAATGCACAGTAGTTTACACATTCTTCAAACCTGGAGCTGGCTCTAGGGAATCAGCTTCTACCCAAAGCACACAAATGTATTTTCCCAAGAGAAATACTTTTTTCTCTCAAAAGAATTATGGTGACAGCTATAAAGATAAGACAAATTTTCTGTCTTAAAATAGAAGCTACAGAATAGATGTATGTGTTTTTAACAATCTTTTGAGCAAGAGACATTGTTTGGGGATATTTTGTCTACAGAAGTTATTATATTCCATTTTTTTAAGATTTTATTTATTCATGAGAGACAGAGAGAGAGAGAGAGAGAGGCAGAGGGAGAAGCAGGCTCCCTACTGAGCAAGGAGCCTGATGCGGGGCTTGATCCCAGGACCCCAGGATCACGACCTGAGCTGAAGGCAGATACTCAACTGTCTGAGCCACCCAGGAGCCTCTCCATATTTTTTTTACTTAACAATTTTTTACCTAAAATTAAAAACTATAGATAAAATACCAAATGCATATTTTATTATTTCATGGTGCTGATGGAGTCTGCAATCTGCAGTCTTGTGAATAAACTTTACCAACTAAAATTCATATTAATGTTGGAGTGCCTGGTTAGCGTAGTCAGTTGAACATGAAACTCCTGATCTTAGGGTCATGAATTCAAGCCCCACCTTGGGCGTAGACTTTACTTAAAAAATACATACATACATAAATTCTTACACACATACAATTAAAATTAATGGGATCAAAGGTAAATTGAATCACTAAAATCACAGTAATGATCTGCTTAGGCCACAGCAAAGAACATGGTGGCTCTATCAGTTAGGAATTGCATTCCCTCCCTGGGGGTAACAGAAACCTAAAGATAGTGGCCTAAGCATGAGAGCTTATTCTCTCATATAAAAACCCAGACACAGGTAGACACTTCAGGGCCAGTATGGTGGCTCCACATAGAAGGAGCCAGTCTCAAGTCCTTGACTATATTTCTGTTTCTTCATCTTCAGAATATGACCCATCAATAAGGTCACCTCATGGTCCAAGTCTTCTTTGGATCCCAGCAGGGTGTCTGCAAGCCAGGGAGCAGCAGGCGGCTAAAAGGAAGTTCCTCTCTATTGAATTGGCTTCTGTTAAAGAGCTTCCACGAAGTCCCACACATACTTCCACATATATTTTCTTACCCAGAACTTAGTCACCCAGCCACATCTTTGAACATATGGGAGATGAGGAAATGTGGTCTTCTTTCTAAGATGCAATACAACTAGCTAAAAAAAGGAGGGGGGAGGCATCTATTACTAAGAACAAAGGGGGAATGGTATTTGGTAAATAGATGGCCATTTCTGCTACAATAACTCAATCATAGTTGATGGGGTATATAAAAACAAAGTTCTAAACTATGAAATATTTCAAATAGAAAATATCATATCTGTGTACCTAATACTCAGAAAAAACATTTGTTTCAAAAATGTATAAGACATAGATCATTATAGGCACATCCTAGGCTCGCCATTCCCCAGACATAGCCACTGTGCTCATATTCAGGCATATCCTCCCCATGCCTGCGTTGTCTTTGTCAGCTTATACGCACTTTTAACTGTATAATATGATTTTTTGTGTGTAACATTTATACAAATGTTGTCATAATGCTTAAAATCATTTTCAGTTTTCCTTTTTGGGAGACATGTCAGCATTGATCCTTTTGGCACCATGTAGATATAATTCGTGCATAATCTAGCACCATTTACTGAAGAGTCTATTCTTTTCCTCACTGGTTTGTAATACCACTTCTAGGTGTACTAAGTACTCAAGGATGGTTTATAGCTCTTTTCTGTTTCAATGCTATATTAGTCTATCTCTGTATCAGTTCCACATGGTTTTAATCCTAATAGCTGTATATAAAGTCTTGATACCTAAAAGACAGATCTCTCTCCCTATTCCTCTTCAAAATTATTTAGACTATTTTTTGCTGTATTAGTTTCCTGTTGCTCTTATAATGAATTACCACAAATTTAGTGGGCAAAAACAACCCAAATTTATCCTCTTACAGGTCTGGAAATCAGAAGTATAAAATCAAGGTGTCAGCAGGCTATGTTCCTTCTGGAGTCTCTAGGGAAAAATCCATTTCCTTGATGT